CTTTAATTTACTGCTGTGTTTCAAAAGTCATCGGTTTCATAAAGAATATAAATAACCTTGATATAATTTAATACCAAATCTGACACGTGAAAATGAAGAAGCTTTTCAAGTAATCAACACTGTTGCTTCCTCGAATTCGCGATGAAGCTACCTGCATTGCTGGCTAAACGTTGAGAAATATTATCCTTCTAAATGCAGCTTATACCCATAAAGCTTCAAACAGTATTAACGCGATATTTACTTTGAAATAATCCTCGTGATTACGCTTTCGTTCAAAAGCAACGTTTCTGAAAATAAAAAAAAAAAAAAACAGGCGATTCACGGGTCGAAAATAACAAGGGATAAAGAGAATCCAATTTCGCGGAGGGGCGAATTTTGCTCGCTCGTCGCGTTATCCGAAAGGGTTGCTACGAAGCGTGCTCGAAACTCGAACGATCTGTCTACGGTTTCGCGCGTCAATTGGCGCGATGGTTGCTGTATCCACAGGTTGGTAATATCGAGGAATCGGGCTTTTGAAAAATTCTTTTTTCACGCGATTCGACTTTATTTATTATCAGCCGACTCGCGCTGGACGGGCGGTCATCGATTTGGATTAAAACCGGGTGAACAGCAGTTTTCGAACCGCTGTCACTTTTCTCGTTGCTGTTTGTCGCTTTCCACGTTTCCGCTATAGGATTCACGACACGACGAATCGAGCAAATTCGAAGTTAGGGTATAAACGGGAGAGAAAAGGGAGAAGAATTGTAGGTCGGGCAGAAGGCCAATTAAGTTCACCCTTAACACGCCACTAAAGCCAAGTAAAGCCAGCATCAACGATAGAACGACAGCTTTGTGTTTTTCCTGATATCCTTCTTCCCGGGGCAGGAACCTCGAAGAGCTAAGTTAAGCCACTCTGACGCGTTTCGGTGTGAAAGAAACTTTATCGTGGCTGTCAGCCGCGAGGCAGACGAATGGCGTCTTTAGCAGAGTCTTATCTATCCTCAATTTTTACCCTCACCACGGTTACCCTTCCTTTGTTTCGCCCTCCCCTTTATCCTTCATCCTCTTCGATATCGAATTTTCAGACCGCCCGGACCGTTCTCGTTTACCTTCTACGCGCATTAATATCTTCGCGACGCACCCGTTCCGGTCTAATCCGTCAAATCCGAAAAGCTCGCCGAAATAAATGTCTATCGCGTCGATACAGCGACGGAAACGGGGCGAGGGGTTGTACGCGTCGCTCGATACGCGCTTCGACCGGGGAACCGATTTTAAATATCGCTTGTCGAGTTAAATTCAATCCGCATCGTTCGCCTCTATGCTACGAAAACTTGTTACTTTTATTTTTAATCGAAATCAATCTCGCCTGAATCCTTTGTATTCATTTGAACGAATACCTATCGAAAGCCCATCTCGTTCGATATTCTCGAAAGAATTGCTTATCCAGCTAAAAGCAACATCTGTCCCCGTTTATCGAGTTCATCCATCCCCTCGGAACCCTTATTAATCCAGGTCGATTCTTAAACGAGAGAATTTCCGGTTTCCTTATTCCCATTCGACGTGCAAGATTTTCGGCTCGCCACGCAGGATACGTGTCCACGATAAAGTACACCGATTCGCACGCGTTTCATCCCTTAAAATATTATAGCCGGCTTGGCACATCGTCTCCTCGTCCTTTCTTCCGGTTTCTGGAAGACACGAGTCTTCTTCGAACCAGGTTAAACGCTCGTGATTTATGTAAGAAGCTCGTCGTGCTCGAATACATTTCGAAAGAGAGACATGGGTGCAGGGGGGAGAGAAGGGGTTTGGGTAAGGTCGAGTGACGGTACGTCAGGCAAAGATATGGGAATTTCGCGGCATTAGAGAGTGCCTGGTGGAGGTGACGTCTTCCTCTCTGACGTTCTAGCAATTTTCAACTCGGTTCCGAGCGGATCTGTCGGCCGGTGAAGAATCGTCGGCTCAGAAATATTGTGTTGCAGTCGAGACGGATACGACACGAAACGAGGAACGAGCCTGGTGCAATCCTTGTCGAGAAAATAGGTGTCCACTTGTACGTAAGTCTCTTTTGAAAATGATTTTTTTCATATCCACCGACGTGTTTTCGAGACTAGAACTCAGACACGGTATTCCATGATGAATCATGCTTCACCTACGACTAGCAATGTTTCTTTCTTTACCGATTTCGCGATGTTTCCACCGAGAGACTCGGACTCGGCGAAAGGTTAAATGTAGCCACCTTTATTTCTCGCGGAAGAACACCGGCGGAGCTAGCGGTTGATATACACTACTTGCTTGTCGTAGCTGTCGCAGAGATGATAAGGTAGAACGAGAAACAACTCGTACAAACGACTTCGTTCTCTATTATTCCCGACTGTTTGCCCAACAATGTTGCGCTCGTCCGAGTAGACGCGGTCCTATTCTACTTACGTGATTACACCGGCGCGGCGCGGCGGACTGTTTAACTTGTCTGACTAGACGCGGTTTGTTCTACTTGTTTTAAGAGGAGCGAACCGTTTTACGGTTTTGATTGGACAGCGATTTCGTTCTACTTGTTTAACCTGTTCTATACGTTTCGATATACATAGAAATTTTGGAAGGGATAGAATATTTCTATTTTCTTTGGGAAGTGTGTATATATATCATTCATAACGAAAGGGTTAAATAATTGAATAGGAAGATTATTTGGAATTTTAATTACAATTTCGATTGTTCACTATATATTATGATGTGTAATTAATCGCAGGAGAAGCAAGATTCATTTGATTTCGATAGAATCGTGAATTTTAATTGAAAAGTAGAAAGATAATACCATAGTCAGACGAGGATATTTGTCAGGTAGATGATAAGGGAAATGGTTATTTAAACGGGCATACGATGTTTCTGCGGTAATTAATAATGGAACAAGTTAGAAGAGGGTTTGAGGGGTAATTTCGGCGATTACTTCGGCAACGATTACTGTCGAGGGCCTCTCGCGCGAACGTGATTCTGAAGTTTCCGTGGGCGCCGTGCTAAATCGTTAATTACGATCAACGCGATTAATCACCCCATCGGCGAGGACGGCAATTTATACGACGCGAGGTAATACACCGGATGTAAACAAGATTTAAAGGTGAACCGCTGCAAAACAATCCCTTTAACCCTTTCGTTGCACCATCTGTTGTGTAATAATTAGAAATCAATAAATATCTATATCTTTCACTTGAATCCGCGTTAATCTTCGAATAAAAATTTCAATTTTAATTCTGGATGTACGATGTGTATTTTATAAGGCGAGCTTTAAATACAGCTTGGCTCGATGGTGATTTCCTTCTCTGTGAGTCAGCTTTGAAGCTCTTTTGTTAATGAATGAATCTTGTATTTACGTTTCTGCTAATTAGAGAAGTGAAAAGCTACAATCGCTCACACACGTGTGGAAATAAGAGTACAAGGTATTTTGATGAAATTTTTAACATGTTTTAATTATCTGTATTAATCTAGATCAAAGAAAGGCGAAATATTTAAATTGATAAAATACATTCGAAACACAATTTTTGTTAACGAAGAAATTCAAAGGATATTAAAGTAAAATGAGACGCGTGTTTAATCATTCAAAGGTAGGTAATTAGACGGCACATACTGCGAATGAAGTTCTGAGAATTCAGATTCTCAGATTCCTGTCTGTAATACTGACTAAATAATGAAGTCACTCTCTAAAAGGGACATGAATTACGCTAATTGTAAGGAAAATGTTCATTCAATTATCATCTACGTTTTCATTATCCTACACGATGAAAATGCAACGTTTTAAAGAGAAGAATTAATTACTCTAAGTAAGCATTAATTCGTTCGGGATCCTTTTACCGATCCCTTCCCGACATGCCATCGAACAAGATCGCTGTCTCCTCGATGTTTCTACCGCGGTCAGGCCAGCGTAGAATTAACCACAGTCCCGTGGATGTCTAGGGGTTCCTTTGGCCCAGGTTGCATTAACTTTCCGGATCGCGAGCACCTTCCTACCAGATCCAATTCCAGGGAATGCGGTCATTTTCGCATCTCTTTCCGTCCGGTTCTGTCTTACGAACTACTGCACTTCTCACCGCGAACTTCGACTCTCGTTACACGCTAACCGAACCCGAAGAAACCAACCCGTTTTATCCCTGACCGGAAGTATTAAGAACGGTGATACGTGTTTGCCGAAACTTACCTTCGATTTTCGAGACAGAGAGAAAATCAATAGCGCTGGTTTTTTGAATTAAAAGATATCCTGACGACGCCTCGTATTTTTATTATCAGGACGATATTCCTCGGGAACGGATACGACAGGAAGGTGTCATTCCACGTCACGTATGTATACGTCTGATGGATATCAGAACGGCCTATGCGTCGATTCGATCGTGCCAGGTTGGCTAACGCAACGCGTGTTCGTGTTCACAGGCACGGCCAGGGGATTACCAATGAGGCACGTCGGATTACCGCAGTTAGCGGTGTTCGTTAGACCACTATTTTAATTAAGACTATTATTCGCGTGCTCGAGTATTCGTATCGCGGCGTCGCGTCGGGACGACCGTTACGTGAGGGGAGCGCTAAAACGCGGCGCCGCCTCTCGCGACGCTGATTCGTTTCGACTCGATCGACCCGGCTAACCTGCCTATCGATTGCAATTATCGACGCGACGCCTCCCGTTTAACGGGACGACGCCCGGCGTTGCACATCGATTCCAAGGATGGAATTCAGAAGTTGGCGAACAACCATCCTGGAGATTCGCTTGTTGCGTTAATACTTCGCAAGAGATTTCCGAGAGAGATTATGTTTGCAGGAGAGAAGAGGAGGAAGGGGTTTAAGCTGAAGTTAATACGAGTAGCATGCGAGCGGAATAATTGACGAGTTTATCGTCGTCGGTCAGTTTTTCTTTAGTTGCAGCTAATACCAGGAATTAGTAGTTTAAAGGAATCGTTGCATCGAACCGAAGGAAACGTGAGAAAATTGTGGAAAAGAAAGATTTATCTTCGAGATATAAGTAAAGAGGAAAAACGTGTACTCACCGAGTTGCTATCAAAGGGCAGGTGATGCTGGGCGAGGCCCATGCTTCCGGGCTCCAAGGGGCGCACTCGTACAGCCTCAATTCTCGGCCGGAAACCGCACCGAAAACGCTGCGCCATCCTCCGGTGCACGCACCCCCTAGGCCGAATCCGCTTCCGGCTCCTCGCGAGGTACTCGCGCTGCTTCCCGCTCCGTCCTCGCTGCTCTCGCTGCTGGCACGTCCGTTCTGTGGACAGATCGCGCGAATCGCTCGTAAATCATCACCGCTGATGGTTCTAACAAAAGCGACACGGCTGAAATGGTGCATGCGGAACGAGCGATCGCGCCGGAAATCGCGATCCGGCACGATTCACGCCCGTTGGAAAATGCTTCTTTCGGGAACACCGAGGAGGCGAGGCAGAGAAATTATGCGCGACACCTGCTCGTGCACGATAACGACGCGGGCCAGGAATTTGCGATTTCGTTCAACTACTCGCTGCTTTGTTAGCACGCTTCCGGTGAATCCTCTGATTTCGCTTTCGCAGAAATATATATATATATATATATATATATATCGTTGCGTTTACTTTGTTCAAGAAACCATCGACGCTGCCTTTTTCAACTTACGCTCCGGGAATCCGTGCTCGCGGGTAAAATTCGTAACGACGGCATTCCGTGGGTCGAACAAAAGGGCGACGCGGAATTCGAGAATTTCCCGTCGCGTTATCGACGGGCGAAAACAACAGGGTGGACGGAAGCGTAAGCAGTTTCTCTTCTCCCGTGTCGCATTCCAAACATGCGCCGCTACGTTCGTAAGGAGAGAGAATAAGGGTTGAAAAAGGAGGAAAAGCGAGCATCAGAGAGGAAGTCTCTTCGAGGAAATGTAGCCTCATAAGTGTCAAGCGCATTTTCCCGTGGCACTTATACCAACGTTGCCCCAACGGAGACAATATCGAGCGAAGAGAGAAGCGTGCCCCCTATATACCGGATACGGCTTTGTAACCGTGTTGTACGTATCGCGTTCGTGGTTTTCGCCACGCTCGGAATGCATCCGGTAGATGGAGGGCGTACAATGTACCCCATCTGTTTCCCACAGGGATGATACATCGTGGATTAATTGAACTGTCGAATATTGACGTTCCGTTGAAAACGCTGCGTGTTTACGTCGTGATGGTTCACGTGCCACTGGACGCTTCTGTCCATTTCATCATGCTCCAGGATAGTTTTCTTCCATTCCCATTCTTTTCTCTATTATTTTCCACCGACTCTTCTTTCGTAATGTAATATCGTACGATTCAGCGTTAATTTAGAAATACATAACGTATCGTTTTTCCTGTCGTCCCTTTAATTACCCTCTAGCCTTTTACATTTTCACATTTTTCGTGGAAACAAGTATTGTTTCGTTTAAAATCATGTCTCCGGATGCAAAGGAACGATACAACGGCTGTCGATTATTACAGCCGCATCGGAAGGTACTACACAAAAGGCACGTCCAATTTGTTGGTTTTGCAGCCGAATAATAGCAATTAGCCACGTCGAGTCACGTCAACGTTCCGCAAAACCATAGAAATCCTTTTTCTATCGTTCTCCTTTGATTTTTCCCTTTCAGAGTTGGACATTCGATTTTGTTTCATTGGACGTTCAACTCGATGCCATCAAAGAATGTACACGTAGCAAAAACAAACCGCCCTTCTGTCCGCCCGTATTTTATTCGTAACTTTTTCAATTTTCAAACTCGTTAATGTTCCTCTTCTTTAACAAAGATTGTTTAAAATCTTCCATCATGCGATCGTGATATGATTGTTAAATGAATAATTATAGAAAAAAATATTCAATCATTCGTGGCGAATGAAATTACGGACGGAATAAAGTCCTTCTTCGTTAAATCGCCAATTGAAACGACCAATCATCTTTCGTTAATACCTCGAAACAATTCTATCTTCTCCTATTCTACGAGGAAATCGGCTTATCGCGAATCGGCTTTCGACATCGATTCACCATTCTCGTTCTTAGAACATCCCCCTTTATTTCACCGCGGAACATTAATTTTCAAACAATCAGTCTGCGAAATAATTCAGCGAATGATAAGACAATTACGGAATGCGGGATGCGATGAAAATTACGTAGTTTACGTAGGGTTGAAAATGTGACTATGATAATAGGACTTCGTTTTCGAATTATTCAGAAGCAGATTCACAGCTGGAGGAACAAAGATCCCACCCTCGATAAAAGAAGCTTGTTTTCAAGCCCGAGAAGAAAGAACTCTTTAATGGACCGATGAAAATTCGATTCGCTGAATTCCTTAGCTTCCTATAGAAAAGTTTACTCGATAAAAAAAAAAATGGTAATCGATAACTAGCGCTATGAGTATAATTTTTCGAAAAATTTTCCACGGAAAACCATCGAAGCTCTGTATCGTGTTTACTACTCCATAACACAGTATCGCAAAATGTTATTATTTTTATTAAAAAACCTAACCGTGCGTTGTATCACGAGCGTTTCATTTTCATCCCCCGACACTCGTACGAATCGACTCGTTCGCTCAACGAACCGTATTCATCGCGATTCGTGGTTTCCACAGAACCACCATTATTCCTTCTCGTTATTATTACCAGGGTAACGCGAACGGGTTACAAAATCAACACAGGCGATGGTTGGACGGGTTCGTTGATGAATAGAAAAGAATTGCGAAGCACGAATGCAGTCTGTCGAAAGCTGGTGTCAATCGACCGGTTGTTGGAACGCGGATAAAGATCCGCTTCAATCGGGGAAAAAGAGTTGCGCGAAACGCGCTATTTGTTCCCTTGCCGTCTGTTCGCGCGAATCAACGAATATATCCTGTTAATTGTGCTTGAAAGTAATTGCTGTTCGCGACGACCCGAGAAGATGCACCGTCGAAAGCTTGAACGGTGATGCATTGTGCTGCGAAATACAATACGTTCGTTTTCCTCTCTTTTTTCTCCCCCCGGGGAAAAACACGACAGAGCAGGGTACAGTTTGCTGGACGACTGCCAACTAAAAGGAAGTCTCGAGCTCGAGGGGTTAATTGGCTTAATTTTCTTGAAGAACGAGGAACCTTCCGGCGTGCAGTACCCCTTTCCTGCCTACTTCTTTTCTCCAACGAAAACGTTATTTCCTTGCGTTGAAAGCTGCCTCTTTCCTGATCGATGCCCTTACTATTATATAACACCCGTTACAGAATGTCGTACGTTCTACATTTTATTTTATTTTCCAAACGAGAACTTGGAAGCTTGAAAAATTTTCCCCTTGTTATAACAAGCCCCGTCCATATAATGAGAGTCTATTGTAGGAATTCGAAAAATTTTCATGCGAAAAACGTAGGAAAGAAGGAAATTAGATCCATATAGGTACACAAGAGTAGAATGATTTCGTTATCCTTCCGGGTATCTCTTAAAGCGTGTCACAGAATCAACGATCGAGCTACCGCTGCTTTTGCTAAGCAGGTACCCGTTTTTTTCCCTAACTTCCCCTAAGCGAGGGTAAACGAAGTTTCGAACAAACTGTAGGGTAGCGAGAAAAAACAAAAGAAAATGAAATGAGGACCGGTTGCTCGAACGACCCGTACGAGCGTCAGCTTGCTCGTTTCACCGGCGAACTATTTCAAGTTCCCTACGGAACTATGCATATTACTTGGGAAATTTTATTAACCCTTTTAAAACGCAGCGTCATGGGGAATAGGTCGGTTATCCTCGCTGGATACAGGAAGTAACCTAAGGTATTCATAGCCCCGTGTAACGCTTGACCGTTGTCGGAACGATTTTTATCCTGTCGCGGAATTCCACCAGCGATTAATCACTTCCGTTCTGTTGGAATTTCTAGCTTAGAGAATAATTTCCGTGGAAACTGGCGCAATTCCTATTCGTTTGCTTGTAATATAATTACCCAAATCAAGTCGTTCGGATGATTTTCTAAAATTTATATTAATTTCTGAACAAGAAGCACCCATATTTTTGGCCGACAGGGTGCATCTGCAAGATGAGTTCATCGAATCCTCTTAAGAATATCGAGGAAATACATTCGATGTGTCTGACATAAAGAAGAACTCGAAACTTTGGCCCATCCTCATTTTTTTCCAACAGACACGAAGCGAAAACTTTGCTTTTCAGATTAAAAAACTCTGCGTCCGACAGCATCGAGAGGAAACGAAACGCGTTTCATATGGAAAGGAAAAATATATTCGAATATATGTCTGACAAATTACCATAAAATATGAAAAGATTCGAGCGGATCCTTTGAAGTCCATCGAGAAGGAAATTTATGGTACCTGTACATATTTCTGAAGTCCATTAAAAAATAATTGAACCTCTACCGTGTTATTGGGTAAACATTTACCGATATAATTCGCGAATAAGAACGTTTAATTAAAATGAGAAACGTTTCTGCTTGCCTGAAATGTTTACCCTGCTACTATCTCTTGAATTTAATTGAAAAACTTCATCTGCCTGTTCCTAGCAAATACAATATTTACCAATTATAAAATTAAATATCGTATAAAATTGTAAACAAAAAATACCACTGATATTTTTGTTATGTCATCAATTACAAGATGGAAAAATTCAGAATGTAACTCGAATTTAATACCTATTTTAATCGTCAAATTTTAGAAGAGAGTCCTTCTTTATTTCATGAGTTATTGCTATACGAAAGATACATTTTCCAACATCGAGCCGAGGGATCGTTTTACAATTTATTGAAAATAAACATACGAGAAAGATTTCTTGATATTTATATTTATCCGCCACATTTTGTCCCAGTCGGTAGAATGAAAATCGTTAATATTTTCGTTACGAGTACAATGGACGACGTGTATCGCGTAATCGAAAGAATTATTATCGGCGCTGACGTTGCTCGAACGTTATTTAATATATGTACGAACGAAAGAGAAATAAACGGGCGAAAAAATATATACGTATTATATATCTGTATCGACACCATTTCCCAGGCTATGGAATATCAATAAAAACCGCCGCGTCACGTTTGCAAATCTCGATTCATTTGTATCATTACAAGCGACGATTTATTTCCACGAGTTACCGCTTCCTTGATTAATATTCCACGCGTGTATCCCAATTATTACTGCGAAAAAAAAACGATCCCATTTCAAATAATTCTCCATTATTTTATGAAATTTTTCAATTTTTACGAAATAAATTTATTCTCAATTACCATCTCGATAAAATAGCTTCAGGAGAGGATCGATTAGAACGAGGGTTGAATTCACGATTG